AGAAAGTTGGGTCATATGTTGGGCTTTGATCCCTAGTTGACTTTGGCCTTATCGATTGGGCCTTGGGCTTGGGTAAGCCAAGGTAGGGGTAATGTAGTAATAATCCAAAGTATGTATTTATAGTTATATGTTAGAACCTAATTGTTAATTGGGTGTTATTTTGGTGTTGACAGTTTGGGTATCTATCATCTACAGCTGGGGTTGAGTTTGCGGAACTTCAGCAGTGTGGGGTTGTGTCTACGGGACGTCAGCAGTGTGAGGTGAATTTTCCTTCCAATAGGAATGGGTCTACGGCCACAATGCTGACCCGTCTAGTTAGCAGTAATTCCGGACTTTGGTCCGATGTAGTAGTTCAGTGTGCTTGATATCTTTGTGATTCAAGCATGTCTTTGTGTTATGTGTTCCGGACTTTGGTCTGATGCAGTATGCAGTATATGTGTTTATGCTAGTTGATATGTTTATGCTATGCTATGTTATGCTCAGTCAGTTTCCGAACTTCGGTCCGATGCAGGGGATAAGGTCCCAGTCAGTTCCGGATTTCTATCAGATACAGTTAGTTCCAGACTTCGGTCTGATGCAAGGGAAAAGGTCCCAGTCACTTTCGGACTTCGGTCCGATGAAGAGGGCAAGGCCCTGGTTAATTCTGGACTTCGATCCGTTGCAGTGGGCAAGGCCCAATATGTGCTTTATATATTATTGTATGGTATGTGGTAGTTTGGGGAGACTCACTAGGCTTCGTGCTTACAGTTTTTAGTTTGGGTTTCAGGTACTTAGTTTTCAAAAGAGGAGCTCGAGAAGATTGCAGTACACACACCATTTGTTCAGCCTGGGATGTTTATACTCTGATATACTTGACAATTGTTATAATATTTTGAGATACATTGCTTATTATTTTTATATGAGGTTTATCGACTATAGGTTTTGTTATTTAATTAAACAAAATTTTCAGACTGTGTTTTTGGGATGTTACAAAAGGTAATCAGGAAAATAGTATATTTATATGAAAATATAATCTACCTCATCGTGTATGTGAATGAGTCACAAAGTAAAGGTAGTAAGGAAAATTGTATAATCCTTAAAAATGTATCCATTTGTATAGGATAAACACGGCGTAGTAACTCGCTGAACAGTACAACCGAGAACATCTGAAGATGAACACACCTTCTGTTGCTAGCAGCCAAGTGTAGGATGGTCAGTCCATGAGTGTGTGGAAGTATAACTTCCTGTAGTATGTAGTAGTATGTCTTCATATAGTATGTACTAGTGTCTCTTCGTATAGTATGTATTAGTGTCTCTTCGTATAGTATGTATTAGAGTAGTGTATGTATTGACTCATGTATGAAATGACCCTTAGTGTGATTCCTTGTACTAGGAATAGTAAATAGTATCTCCTAACTATACCTATTATAGTTACTAGTAATGTAGATGTATAACCGAAAGTATGCCTTTGCTACCCAAAGGTACTGAATTGACTAATAGAACTTTTATTTCTGTATATGTATACATAATATATAACTAATATTTAGACGACATTTGGACAAATATTCGATGCCCTAAGGCCACATCCCAACAAGGAAAAGGAATTAAAGCGACCTAGAAGTCCTAAGTCCTTTAAACATTACTTATATAACTATACATATATAGGCATGCATTTGACATTATAAAACTATAAAAGAAGTTTTGTAAAACCTTTAAAAAGTTAATAAATAAGAATTTATGACTTGATGTCAGTTTATAAAGCGATTTAAAAGCAATTTGTCTAATAAGAACAGTTTAGAGTGTAAGAAATCCTTTGTTTGAAACACGGCTTGAAGTACATGAAGACCTTTGTTTGAAACATAGTTATAACAGAGTTTGAAAGGAAAGATATAGTATGTAAGACAGTTTGATAAAGATTTTAATATGTAAAAACATTTTGAGAAATCATTTTGAAGTAGTATACTGAGTAAAACAGCCAAAATTGTAGTAAATCCATTTGTATGCTAGTTATTAATCATATGTGATTGATATAATAACTAGTATGATTCAACTTGTATCCCCCCCCCCATAAAAGTAGTTAAAAACATTTAAAAGGTTAATTAAGGGGTATGAACTCACTTGATAGAGTGAAGATGGTGAGATGAAAACCGAGCAGAACTTCGACAAGAGAATGTTGATTTCTCGGGATTCTCATAAATCTCGGGAATCTTGGAAGTGTAAAACCTTCCTTCAGAACTTGGATGTGAAGACCGGGGCTTCAGGATGGCTTTGGGGGCTAAAATGCAGAGCTTCGGCATGAGAGAGAAGAGAATTGAGCGATGAAACCCGGAACCCTTTGAGCTCTATATATAGCCCAATTTTTGGGTCCCACGTCGTGGCAAGAGGGTTTCCCACGTCATGGAGTTGATCCTATCTGAGAGGACCTTAGATCAATCGATTTATCAAAAAATTTCTAATAATAAGAAGAGAACAATGAAGTATCACAAAGAGCTTTCACTAAGAATGATAATCTCACAAAGAGATTATTGTTCGCACAAAGCGGCTATTAGGGTTTGTGAAAGACAACCCCTTCACAAACCCGTACAAAAGACTATATAGAACTATTATAGACAATCCCTACAAATCAGGGATGTTCCAGCTAACTAATATATGATAACTATGGAAACAAGATAAATACAAAATCCGTTACATATAAGACAATATATATACTAAACAACTTGTATGCTGACGTTGATGCTGATGCTGATGCTAGATTACATGCTGATGCTGAGGGATCAGTTTCAAACATCATCATATTATAAGGTTCGACCTTACAATCTCCCCCAATATGATGATGTTCAAAACGACAGCTATATGAGAACACCTCTGGACAAAAATTCTTCATACTCAGCTTCAGCTTCTATTTTCACAGGCCAGTAAGGACTATCCAGCAGCTCCTGTCTTCTATTCAGCAACTCCATAGCAAGCAGTATGTGAAACTCTCCAGATAGATCTTAATGACTCATGCACATTTGTCTTAAGCCAACAAGATGTGTTGTTGGAGCTCTTGGAATTTCTGTGGTGCGCTGAAAGCACATTCTTCTATTTTTATCGAGATAAAACATTCCATGTTCAGGAACAGAGATGAACTTATGTTGAATCGGCTCAACACCGATAGGAAGATATTTGTTTATTCCTTCAGCACCAAAATTTAAAACCAACACAGCTTCACTATCAACTTGAAATCTGGTCCTTCTGATTCTTGGAACTGAGGAACTTTGGCCTTGCTGCTGAGAACACTACATAGGAACAAGATCCAGACGCTGAACTTTCTTGATCAGTAGATGGAGAGAACATGTCAGTTCTGAAGAGAGAGCCGAAGTTTGCTTGGATGCTAATTCGAGAAACTCCATCCATTCAGAATATCCGTATCTGATCCGCTTATCCCTCTTGACAACTTTAGTGTATGGATGTTGAGGACCTTGACGAGTGATCAGCAAAGTAAGAATTTTCTCGTTACGAGGTTTAGAGGCTTTAACCTTGATGATCTTATCACTGCTCACTCATCGTTTAAGAACATCTTCAAACCTCTTGCGATCAATCCTGTCAAGAACATTTTCAGTCCTTAACATGCTGCTATTGGGAGGAGGCTGGGAAGATTTGGATTTGGACTGATATTCTAAGAACTTTTGCATTTGAACTTCAAAGGATCCTTTGGGCTGAAGTTTATGCTGAATGAGAGATTCATCAGCTTGAGCAATATTCTTTAGAAGCTGAGCTTGATTGGCTTCATCAAGAATTTGCTTAACTTGATCAGGAGACATGTTCCACTCAGCTGCCAAGTTGGATATGCTGACGATGGACTTAGGTTTCTTGTTGGGCAGAGAAGTATCAGTGTGTGAAGAAGCCAATTCAGTATCTGCTGCCTTGCGCTTGCGAGATAGAGGTTGAGTATCCTCACTAGCTACATCTGAATCTTCTCCTTGGACTGGCATAATGGGATCAATGAATTTCATATCTAGCATTTGACATTCATCATCATGTTCATCTTCATCATCATCTGAGGCTTCTCCTTGAACTGGAATAGTGGGATCAATGAAGTTCATGTCCAGCATCTGACACTCATCATCATGTTCATCATCATGCTCACTATCTTCAGCAAGCTTTTCAGTATCTGCTGGTCTATCAGACTCGTCAGCAGCTGGTCTATCAGACTCGTGCACTAGCTGTGGTGGCCTAGTCTGGTTTAAAATGTTTTCCTCAGATCCGAGCTCAGCAGATTCAGTTTCGCCCTCGTTTTGATCATCATCAGTTTCTCCCCCTTTTTGATCATCATCATGTTGTGGGCCAGGGGAAGGAGTTGGCAAGAGAACTCCCTTCAGCTGATGGACATCGGCCTCAATTTGTAGAAGATGCTGACTCATGTCCCGAGTCAGTGTCAGAAGCTCATTAAATGTTGAGGCCGGTATATGAAGGAATTGAGTACCTAGAACTTCTTGAGAGCGATTTTGCTCCCCCGAAGAAGGTTGCTCCCCCTGGGATGGTTGCCCCCCCTGAGATGGTTGCCCCCCCTGGGATGGTTGCTCCCCCTGAGATTGTGGCTCCCCTTGAGCTGAGTGAACTCTCTCAGTGACAGAGAGAGTATGATGAGAAAGTTGAGGGGAGAGATGACCACCATCCTGTTATTCAGCTTCTTGATCAGCATGATCTTCGTTGTTACCATCAGCTCCTTCATCAGTATCAGCGATTAGTGAAGGAACAGTATATGGATTTGCGATCCATTCTCTCATCCGATCAGAGATGTCGATGTCATACATTCACACTGACATGCGTGGGCATTGGATGGCGTTTCTAGAGTGGGAGTAGTAAGCTTCAGCGAAAAATTTATCTAGCACAAGAGCAATCCAGCGTGGAAAGGGGACATGATCAGTGCGTACATTTGCACGAAGAAGTTGGACAAGCTGATCAAAGAAGAAATCCCCATAATCAAGTCGTTTGTTGAGAATAATGGAACAGACGACTTGTTGCTCATAAGTGCTCAGTTAATCACCACTGCGAGATTTGTGACCCACACATTTGCATAGAGCACCAGTGAAGAACTTCCATCCTGGAGTCATACATTGATGCAGAATGAGAGCTGATCGAGTACCAGCCTTTGATTGATCACATCCCAGTTGATCAAAGAGGCGTCGACAGCGTTCAATAGGAGGAAGCTCAGAGAATGGTTCAAACATTGGTAACCTGAGCGCAACACTGAGGAGGTCAGCAGTAATAAAAACTAAGTGTCTGCCATGGCCAATAGTCCCGGAGATGACGTTGTTTTCATCATTAATCGTTGCAATGTAGTAGAACTCACATACTTGTTCGGGAAAGAACTCTGATGGAACGTCACTGATTGCGTATCGGAGTCGGCAGGAGACTAAGAAATTGACAAAATCATCAAGTCCAAGACCTCGATGAACATCTGGAATTTTAGGGTTGAAAACTACGTTTGTGGCTTTGATGTATATGGGAAGAGGATGAGAGTTTGGAGTTGGGACGACTCTTCTTGAAGTGGAGGAGAAGGTGAACAGTGATGCCGCCATTGAAGAAGTTTAGGATTCTAGGGTTTTCCTTTTTATTTTAAGAGAGAGAGAAGATTGGAGGAAGGTAAAAAGGTTTGGGGAAGAGGTGAAAAGGTTTAAATAAGGAATGAAACGGTAAAAAAAAGTAATGATTATTTTCATCGAAAATAACTGCGTATCTTGACAAACTGTCAAATCAAAAAATAGCCGTTAGGTAAATAGAGTCGTTGTACCAAAGAGGAAACAAAAATCAGTGACTATGGAAGCGGTGAGATAGTTATCACGGAAAGTTACATGATGAAAGATAGTTTGTCGTCAATTCAAGGTACAACTTGCTTGTTTAGGGTTAGCAAGGTGATTGGTGCGTGTGATAGATACTAGTTTAATTATCTAACCATCGGCACAGAGTGTCAAGTCTTTATCAGTGAGTGGTATTTCTTACTGAATCATTAGAAACTGAGTGAGAAGAAGGTGAAGAGAGATTGTTGCGTGTGATAGACCTTGGTGTTTTGGTCTAACCATTGGCAAAGACTGTTAGATTCTCATCAGCATGTGTCTTGTCATGCTGAATCACTGAATCAGTGTAAGATTGGTAAGAGGGGATAGCTACGTGTGATAGAACTTGGTGTTTTGTCTAACCATCGGCAAAGATTTTTAGATTCCCATCAGTATGTTTTTTGTCACACCGAATCACAGAATCAGTGTAAGATTGGTAAGAGTGGATAGTTGCGTGTGATAGAACTTGGTGTTTTGTCTAACCATCGGCAAAGAGTTTCAAGTTGTTATCAGTGTATGGTTTAATACAGTGAATCATTCAACTTTAGTTTAGAAGATTTGTAGAAAATAGAGAGAGAAGAGATCATACAATGTACTCAGCATGCTAAACATCATCAGCGCATCATCATCAGTACAAAAAAAACATTAGTATATAAGAAAATAGCAAACATTAGTAAAAAAAATTTTCAATCGAGAGTGATCACTCCAAGTTCGCCAATGATGTGAGCATTAGTTTGAATATCCAGGGCCTTGGTGAAAATGTCAGCTAGTTGATCGGAAGTCTTGACATGTGTTAAAACAACCTTGCCCTTCTCAACATTCTCTCTGATGAAGTGATGTCTGACCTCTATATGCTTTGTCTTTGAGTGCTGAACCGGATTATGTGTGATCTGAATGGCACTGGTGTTATCACAGAATATAGGAGTCTTTGTGAATTTAAGCCCATAGTCTAAAAGTTGATTTTGAATCCATAAGATTTGAGCACAACATCTTCTAGCGGCAACATACTCAGCTTCTGCAGTGGAGATAGCTACTGAGGTTTGTTTCTTGCTGGACCAGCTGATTAGTCGATTTCCAAGGAAATGACATCCACCTGACGTGCTCTTCTTGTCTAAGTTGCAACCTGCATAGTCGGAATCAGTGTATCCAAAGAGTTCAATCGCTGAGTCACGAGGGTACCACAGTGCCACGTTCTGAGTGGCCTTTAAGTATCGAAAGATGCGTTTGACTGCAATGAGATGAGACTCCTTGGGATTAGCTTGGAATCTATCACAGAGAATGGTTCCAAACATGATATCAGGGCGACTTGAAGTGAGGTAGATAAGAGATCCAATCATTCGTCGATAAAGAGAGTGATTAACATCAGCGCCGGTCGGATCAGCGTGTAGCTTATCAGTCTTTGACACCGGGGTAGAAGCTGGTTTGCAGTCGCTGAGAGAATACTTAACTAGCATGTCAGCAATGTATTTACTTTGACAAATTGAAATACCTGATTTTTTTTGCTGAACCTCAAGACCTAAGAAGAAAGTCATCTTCCCCATTATGCTCATTTCGAACCTTTGAGACATGATCTCAGTGAATTCTTTGCTCAGCTTCTCATTTGGAGATCCAAAGATGATGTCATCAACATAGATTTGAACAAGAATCATTTCTGAGCCTTTCTGTTTGATGAAGAGAGCATTGTCAATTGCTCCTCTTCTGTAGCCATTTTCAAGAAGATATGATGTCAGTGTCTCATACCAGGCCCTGGGAGCTTGCTTCAGTCCATATACAGCTTTATCTAGTCGGTACACATAGTTAGGGTGCTCTTTGTCTTCAAAGCCTGGGGGTTGTTTGAGAAATACTTCATCTTGTAACTCACCATGAAGAAATGTCGTTTTGACATCCATTTGGTAGACAATGAAGTTCATGTACGAAGTGTATGTGAGAAACAGTCTGATTGCTTCAATGTGGGCAACTGGAGAAAAATTCTCCCCGTAGTCGATGGATTCAATTTAAGTGAACCCCTGAGCAACAAGTCTTGCTTTGTTGAGAGTAATAATACCATCTTTATCAACCTTGTTGCGGTAGACCCAACGTGTTCCGGTGATGGTCTTTCCTGATGGTCTGGGAACAGTGTCCACACCTTGTGCCATTCGAACTCGTTCAGCTCATCTTGCATGGCCTTAATCCAGTTAGTGTCTTGAAGAGCTGAGTATATCTTGTCAGGTAAAATCATTGAAACGAAATTAATGTACATGCAAAAATTATTAGATACACGAGATCTAGTTCGGACACCATCATGAAGATTCCCAATAATTTGATCAACAAGGTGATCTCGATGTCCAGAAGCTGATTCCACTGGATTTGACGCTGAAGTGTTATTGTTGAAGGGAACATCAGTTGCAGGAGAGTCTTCATTCTTAAGAGTTTCATCAGCATCAGACAAATGAGTTGTTGAGCTGACCGCAGTATCTTGATTCAAGGAATTTGGATCTGGAACAATAGGATTAGGAATAGTAGCTTCTTCTTCAATGTAAGAAACTTCATCATATGGGCAAGAGAGAAGCTCTTGAAAAATAGAGGAAGAATGAGCTACTTTTTCATCAGAGTATGATTCCTTATCAAACTTCACATGAATGGATTCTTCAATGCACTGCCTGTTCACATGAAAAACACAAAAAGCTTTTGAAATAGATGAGTATCCAACAAAAATACCTTTGTCAGCCTTAGGCTCAAATTTTGATCTTGGATGACGCTGATTAAGAATATAACAAATGCATCCAAACACGCGAAAGAAGGATACATCCAGCTTTTGACCTTTCAGCATCTCATATGGTGTCTTTTTGTGAATCCTGTGAATTAGAGATCGATTCTCAGTAAAACATGTTGTATTAACAGCTTCAGCCCAAAACGACATGGGCAGACCAGCATGAATCATTAAGGTCCTTCCTGCCTCAATCAGTGTTCGATTTCTTCGTTCAGCAACTCCATTTTGTTGAGGAGTGTGAGGAGCTGAAAAGTTCTGCCCAATGCCTTTATAATCACAAAATTCTTCAAGAGTTGAATTCTAGAACTCAGTGCCATGATCACTCGTTAGCTGCTTAACTTTGAGACCAGTTAGTGTCTCATTTTTACAAATTAGCGAGATAATTTCCTGTGCAGCATGACTTTTCTTCTTCAAGAAAACCACCCATGTAAATCGAGTAAACTCATCCACAACCACTAGAGTATACTTGTTTCCTCCTTGGTAACGAACAGGAATAGGTCCAAACAAGTCCATGTGTAGTAAATGAAGAGGACCAGATATGATAGAACATGACTTGGGTTTGAATGATGACTTGGTTTGTTTTCCTTGTTCACACGCTGAGCACATCTTGTCTTTGACAAAGCTGAGTTTTGGGAGACCTCTAACTAGATCTTGATTGGATATTTTGGATAGATTCTTAAAGTTTAAATGAGAGAATCTTTTGTGCCAAATCCAGTTGAGATTGGTTTGAGACTTTGTAAATAAACATTGCATCAGCACCTTGTCACTTGAGAACATGTCAAGAACATATATATCATCTTTTCTACTTGCTGAAAGTACGATGTTCTTGTCAGTGTTAACAACTCTTCCTTCCTTCTTTGTAAAGTGAACTTCACAATCAGCATCATACAATTGACTGATTGAGATAAGATTGTGTTTGAGACCCTTTACATATGAAACGTTCTGAAACACCACGTTATTGCACTTGATATTTCCATATCCTTTAGTGAAACCCTTTCCATTGTCTTCGTATGTTACTGCAGGACCAGTTTTCTTGACATAGTCTTCCAGGAGAGACTTGGATCCGGTCATATGTCTTGAGCAACCACTATCTAAGTACCAAAGATGCTCCTGACCCTACAGTGTTGAGAAACTAGTTAGAACACACTGACCCATTGGAAGATGGGTCGTTCACAAAGATAATTGACAATATATTATAGCACTCTTTAGGAAGACAGTTTAAAGAATTTGATTTAAGAGTCCATTTTTCATTTCTAACTTTGATGTTATCAGCTCTTAATGACGTTTTATCAAACTTGCATTCACTGATTTTGTGAGTCGAATCCCCACACCTGTAGCAAATTCTAGTACCAAAGTTTTTATTGGTAAACACATTTCTAGATTTAACACATTTATATTTGAAAGATTCACCAAGTGAACTTTGAGTCCTTTTATTTAACATTGAATTACTAAAGAATTCAGTGTCAGAAGAACTACAATCAGTGATGGATGAGGAGCTGACATCAGTATCAGATTTAGACTTATGTACTAAAACACTACAATCAGGATATTGTTTAAGTTGTTCATGAACAGCATGAAACACTCCGTTTGAGATAGGAAATGCGATAATATTTTCAATGAGAGGAGTTGGTCTCAGAAGATGTGCAGGATAAGAAGTAGGATCAATTCCAGTAATTTCAATATTACACTCAGTAACACCATTAGAGTCAGTAACACAGTGTTCATCAATGAGACACTGATTAATAAAGGTGTTGCTGATAAATGTGTTTTTGAAACTATCTTTTAATTCATTTATGGAATAAAATTTAGATTCCTTTTCTTGAGATTTAAAAACCTTTTCAGCTTCAGCAAAATTTCCCCCAAGGATTTTCTCACATGAATGAGGTATTTGAGAAGAAATAACATAATTATCATTTTTGTGAGATTTAGCCCAAAGTTTTAAAAGAGTTTGTTCTTTTTTCAAGAGGTCTTTAACTTTATCAATTTCAGCAGATAG